AGTGGGAAGTATGACAGTTGCTATGGTAACCAACCGTAGTGACGGCAATGTCTTATGGTTTCCGTAGCAATGGAAATGCTGGGAAACCATCACATATGGTGACCGTAGCAATGGCAATGTGTGATGGTTGCCATGGTAACTGACCGTAGGAGTGGGAACTATGATAGTTGCCATGGTAAATGACCATAGTGATGGAAATGTGTGATGATTGTCATGGTAACTTACCGTAGCAATGGGAATGTGTGATGGTTGTCATGGTAACTTACTGTAGCAATGGAATGTATGATGGTTGCCATGGTAACCGACCATAGCAGTGGGAGTGTATGATGGTTGCCATAGTAACTGACATAGTAATGGGACTGTATGATGGTTGCCATGGTAACTGACTGTGGCAAAAGGAATGTGTGATGGTTGCCATTGTAACCGACCATAGCAATGAAAATCTCTGCTGTTTGCCATGGCAACTGACTGTAGCAATGGCACTGTATGAGGGTTGCCATGGTAACCAACCATAGCACCGGGAATGTATGATGGTTGCCATGGTAAATGTTTGTAGCAATGGAAATGTGTGATGGTTGCCATGGTAACCAAGCACAGCAGTGGGAATGTACGATGGTTGCCATGGTAACTGACCATGGCAAGGGGGCTCAGTGGCGTTGCCCACGGCTTCCACTTCTGCAAATTGGCTTCATTCACCTTCTCCTTCAGCAGCCTCAGCCACTCGTCGTGGGGGCCCCACACAGCAGCTTCCCAGCTCCGTGAGGTTCTGCAGCAGCCCAGGGTTCCTTTGGCCCCACAAGGTCCTGCAGTGTCCCGATGGCCCCTCGATTCCGTGAGGCCCCACAGTGTCCCAGGGTCTCCCTGCTTCCATGAGTTTCCCCAGTGTCCCAGGTTTCCTTTGATTCCACGAGATCCAGATGTGAAGCAGTGGCCCCTTCATTCCACGAGGTTTTGCAGTGTCCCCATGGCTCCTTTCTGCCCTCAGGTTCTGCACAGTCTCAGGTTCCTCTGTTTTCAGGAGTTTCTGCAGTGTCCCGATGTCCTAGTTAGGACAGCTGAGACCAGTTCATCACTGGATGGGTGTAACCCAAAACTGTGTATTCTATAGCCTTCCATGCCATTTCCCAGGAACTGTTATCAATAGAGCATTTACACCATCTGCACATAGAGCCTGACTCCTCAGGCTATAAACTAGGCATTAAGAGGCCTGCAAGATAGGAATATGTTCCGGTCCTCACACCCTTTTATGGAATACCCCGCTCTGAGGGAAGGACTGAGCATTCCTGCCTGAACTGGAGAATATATAAACCTGGAGTTTTGGAACCTTTTTAACCACTCGTGGGATCCAGAGGAAGACTGCAGTTCACCGCTCTCAACCAGCCTGAGACCACCACCCTCAGCTGGACTGCAATCACCACTCTTGACCAGACTGCAACAGCACTCTCACCAACAGGTTTTCCCCTCACCTTTTCCTTTGGACTCAGGGGGCCCAAAGAACACCACTCTGTTCATGCCCCAAGGTGCTGGGTTATATATTTGGGTTTTGTGGGTTAAAACCAATTGTTTGTCTGTATAATTGTACTTATTGTATTATTTTATTAAATTGTTATTCTGACTTATAATCTCTCTTTTGAGTTGAGTTCATTTCCTATTTATTCTTGCTTTGGTTTTCTCCTTCTTTCATATGCTCTAGTTTTATGGAAGAAATTTGCTTGAACCATGCATCACCACAAAATTCCAACGTTTTACCTCAGGGACTATCTGGAGGAATATAAGAGTTGTCACCCTTTTTGCCACATCCCCTATCTGGATTTTTGCCCCTCTTGGGCACTGAACTTTTGTCCCCCTTGGGCATTTTCCTTTTACTTCCCCCCATTCCCACATTTACTCACTGATGAGATTCCTCAGTCTTTCCCTGTGGACTCCTTTCCAGATTATGACATTATCACCTGTCTCTGGACAGTCTCAGGAACCCAATGAACTGTCCCATTCTGGTCACAAATGAAGGGAGTTGATCACCAAACTTCAAAGCAGGGGCTTCCCTATCCCTTGCAGCTGCTGGGTTCTCTTGTTCCTCAGCAAACTATACAGATGCTTCAAACTGGGGGTCAAAGGCTGGTTTAAAATGGGGTCAAAGGCTGCATAAACAGTAACTTTCTACTCTACTGCTACACCAATTAGGACTGTAGCACAAGTTTTGCAAGAACAGTCTTATTATTACTTATACCAGGCAGAAAGTTTCCAGCACAGGATGAATTGTCTTTGTTAGTCTCTTCTTTACCTTGTGGTTACTTCACATGTCCTTGGAGGGCTCTAAATTCTGGATTCCACGTGTCCAGATTTTAGTTCCCCCAGGATTTCTTCATTGAAGCTTCTCATGGTTAGTTTGGCAAAACTTAAAGTTTCAGTGGTCTAATGATCAAACTCTGACAGTAACTGTCTGTAAAAACAAACTTGGCACCAAGCTGACTAAAGTGGGAAATTTCTTAATCGAGGTGTTTGTTCCCTCTTGAGCCTCCTTTTGCTACGAGGGGATTTCTCTGATGGTTCCCTGTTGGCTTCCATTGTCCCAGGAGTCCCTGGCTCATCTCTGTGAGACATCAGCTGTGCTCCAGTGTGGCTGTTCCATCTCAGAGTCACCTCAGAGGGGCCCTCACGGGTACCTTGTCCCTCTAAGTTTTTCATGTTATCCCACAGATTTCCTGGAACAAGCCTGATCTTGTGCCCCTCCCCCATCATGTCCAGTTTAGAGCCCTGGGACACTGTGGAACCTCATGGAACCAAGGGGTCACTGTGACACCACAGGGCCTCATGGAACCCAAGAGACCCTGGGACACTGTGGGGGCTCATGGAACCCAAAGGACCCTGGGACACTGTGGGGGCTCATGGACCCAAATGGACCCTGGGACACTGTCAGGAGCCTCGTGGTGCCCAGGGCTGAGGAATCCCGTGGGTGCAGGTGGCTCAGGGAGCAGCTGCAGTTGGAGCTGTGGGATGAGCTCTGGGTGAGGGGCCTCAGACCAAAGGCCGTGAGCTGCTGACCCTGGAGCAGCCAAGGGAGAGGACACTTGGAGACAGGGCAGGAGCCCAGGACTCAGCAGGAAGAGCAGTTTGTGTGCTTGGAGTGTGAGGGGATAAAAACTCATAGAGGTTTTTGTTGGGGGTCCCTCCTTGAGGCACCAGCTCAGGCTGTTTCTGTGTTTCTTCACAAGAAATAAATTGTTTTATTGTTTCTAAGACATGAGACTCTGCCACGGGAAACCTGCAATGGAAGCAGTGAGGAAACCTGGTCTGACTGTGAGAGTGGGGGTGTGGGGTGTCACAGGGGACCTGTCAGGTCACTGCAGCTGCTGCTGCTGGGAAGGGGCCTGAGTGTCAGCAGTGCCAGTCTGGGCTGGTGGGAGAGTGACTGCCAGGGAGTCTTGGGAATGGTGAGCCTGGGAAGTTGCCTTAAGAGTGTGAGGGGGATCTCGTGTGCAGAGACCCCCAGGAGCCCCCTGAGCCGCTCTGCTCATGGCAAGGATGCAGAGAAGGCAGAGTTACTGAACACCTTTGCACTGACAAGACCAGCCCTCAGGGATCTCTGGCCCAGGAGACCAGGCTATAGGAATGTTGGAAGGAAGACCTTGCCTTGCTAAGGAAGATTGGGTCAGAGAACACCTCCAAAAACTCTACCCCCACAAGTCCGTGGGACACTTGATGACCTCCTGTCACCAAGGGGACCCTGTGACACAGTGGGACCTCGTGGTTATCAGACTCCCAAATATTGTGTGCAACTACAGTTTCACAGAACTTCCAAAAGTACTGTGAAAAACTGTAGAGCCTGAGCGTGTTGGTCCAAACTATTGTGATCTCACCTGAAGATGTCCCTGCTAACAGAGGTCCTGTGTGTTCCCTCTGCTCTCTGGGCACTTGCATCCTTTGAGAGCTGCCCATCACTCTGGTAGCCAAGAGCACAGGGCAGGGGATCCCCTGGAGGGGGAGCAGAGACATCTTTCCTAGATCACCTTGCTCAGAGCCCCATCCAACCTGGTCTTGAATGTTTGCAGGGATGGGGCATCCACCACCTCCCTGCAAATGTGTTCCAGTGTTTCATTCTCATCATCAAATGTTTCTTCCCTCTCTCTAGTTTGAACCTCCCCTCTTTTAGTTTAACTTCCTCACCCCCTGTCCTATTGTGACAGGCCCGACTGAACCCTTTACCCACATGTCTCTAAAAAGCTGCCTTGAAGTACTGGAAGACCCCAAGGAGGTCTCCCCACAGGCTTTTCTTCTGCAGGCTGAAGAGCCCCCACTCTCTCAGCCTGTCTCCATGCGAGAGGTGCTGCAGCCCTGGGATCCCCTTGGTGGCCTCCTCTGGAAGTGCCCCAAGAGGTGCGTGTCTTTGCTGTGCTGAGGAGCCCATGGAGCTGCAGGAGATGCCAGGGCTGGCAGGGGAATCCCCCCAAGCCATTGCCATTGCGGGCAGGTGCGTTGCAGAGAGCCAGAGGAGCCCAGAGCTGGAGGCAGCACTGCAGGGGGGTCTCAGCTGAGCGGAGCAGAGGGGCAGAACCCCCCTCCCCTGCTGCCCACGCTGTGGGATGAGCCCAGGACACGGGGGGGTTGTGGGCTGTGAGCTCCCATTGCTGGCTCCCATCCTGCTTTTCATCCCCCACTATCCCCATGGCCTTGGATGCAGGGCTGCTCTCCATCCCTTCAGCCCCGAGCCTGGCCCTTGAGATCTGGGGGCATTTGACACCTGCTGGCTCCTTTGATCCCCTTTCCCATCCCTCCCAGAGCCCAGGGAAGGACTGAGGGGCCTTGGCTGATTGTCCCTGACCCTCCCCTGCCCCGACACCAAGCTGTGCTCCTTGGGGACGGTGCTTGGACAGCCCCAGTCAGACCCTGTTTCCCACTGTACCCCCAAACCACCGGGTGCCCCAGGGGATGTGGGAACACACATGGACACGGGAAGGCACCCGTGGATGTGGGAACACACCCACCCAGACAGACACAGAGCATTTGTTTTGCTGCAGGGGTTTATTGATTCTTGCAGGGAAATTGCCAGGGCACCCAGGGGATCAGGGGGGTCCTCCAGGGATGATCATCTCCTCATGCCGCTGGAGGGGGCCAGGACACGGGTGTCACCACCACTTCCAGTCCTGAAAGACAGAGCCCCAAACGTCACCCCCGGTGTCCACAGGGACATGGGAGGGGCCTTGTCCCCACCCTGTCTGTCTGCAGGGAGCTGGGGCAGGAGAAGGGAATTGGATGCTGAGATCCATGTGGCCCCAGAGCCCCTGAGCCCGGGATGCTCTGACACCTCCCCGAGCCCCTCCCTGCCCTCCCGGTGAGCCTGGGGGTCTGCAGAGCCCCCAGTGCAAGGCAAGGCTTGGGGGCAGCTCTGTCCAGCTGCCCCAGGACACGGAGCAGGGACAGCCCCCTGCGTGTCCCTCTGCTGTCCCCAAGCTCTGCCCACTGCAGAGGGCTCAGGGACCCCCCAGGGCCCTGCCAGGCTCCTTTGGGGGGCTGAGGAGCCTCCCATATTTCTCACCTGGACATGCAGAGAGGCAGCCGAGCGTCACTGGCGCATCAGCTCCACCTGGTCAGCCACGGGGGGCTGGGGACAAAGGCAGGGTTAGAGACACACTGGGCTGGTTCTGGGACAAGCTGGACTGGACTGGGACACACTGGGCTGGACTGGGGCACACTGGGCTGGACTGGGGCACACTGGGGTGAACTGGGACACACTGGGCTGGACTGGGGCACACTAGGGTGGACTGGGACACACTGGGATGCCAGGGAGGGTCATGGCCATGAGAGGGGAGGGTCTGGGCCCAGCAGAACTCGGGGTACCCACCTCAGACCTCTTCACTCGATGGACATCCATGCCTCCCTGGAGAGAGAGTGTGAGGTGTCACTGGTCACTGGGGTGTTCCAAGGCCCAGGAGGGATGAGGGGACTACATTTCTCCCCATTTCCCACACTGGGGACATCCCAGCTCCAGGACTTACCCCAACACATCCACCTCCTCCTTGTCCCGAGATTGGCTGGGGAAGGAGAGCAAAGGTTTAGGCAGGATTGGCCCCTGTGGGGCTGGGGGAGACACACGGGTGTCCCCAGACCCCCCAGCCCATGGTTGGCCCCTGGTCTGAGGGGGAAAATCCCTTCTGCTCCCCCAGCCCCACTGCACCCAGTTTCCCCCAGGATCCCTGTTCCTGCAGGGCCCAGGGTGGGGATGGAGACAAGGAGAGCCAGGGGAATTCAGGGCCTGCAGGAGGGTGGGGGGGAGGAGGAGGAGACCCAAAGAGGTGAAGTGGGGGGAACTGGGGATCCCACAGGATGGGCATTGGGGTGTGGAAGGGATGGGACTGTGGGGGATGAGGGTGAGGAGGAAGGGACTGCAGTGGAGGGGACACAGGGAATGAAGCAGGGCAGGGGTGTGGCAGGAGAAATGGGGAAGGGGAGAAAAGTGAAAGGGACTGGGAGGGTCTTTGGGACTGAGGGGTCAAGGAAGGGGATTTCTGGACATGAGTATAATGGGCAATGGGAAAGGGGAAGGATTAGAGGAGAAAGAGGGGAAGAAATGGTGTGGGAATGATGCCCTGTGTGTGTGTGGTGGGGTGGACTGGGGTGTGTGGGAATAGAGTGGGGGCCCTGAGGAAGGGCCTCCCCGGTGTACACTGGGGTGGACTGGGGAGCACTGGGATGGCCTGGAGGGTGGTGGCCACCAGAGGGGAGGGTCTGGGCCCAGCACAAGCCCTGGTACCCACCGGGCCGCCGATCCCGCCTGCCTGTAGAGAGACAAGGAGACGTGACTGGTCACTGGGGTGTCCCCAGTGCCAGGAAGGGATGGGGGGCCCAAAGTGCCCCCACTTCCCACACTGGGTGCTCCCCAACTCCCAGACTTACCTCCCCACATTGGACGCCGCCGGCCTGAATGGGCTGCAGGAGGAGAGCAAAGGCTTGGTTGGGGTTGGCCTTGTGGGGCTGGGGGGACACGGGTGTCCCCACCCCCTCCAGCCCCGGCTGCCCCCCGGGCTGAGCGGGGCTCTTTGGGATTGCGGCTCCAAGGCAAGTTGGGGACACCAGTGCAGGGGGAAAGGCAAGGCATTGAGGGCAAAGCCTGGAGGAAAGGCCCTGGGAAGGGGCCATGGCAGGGCATTTCCCAGTTGGTGCCAGTTCAGCCTGGCCAGGCCTTGTCCCACTTGAGCCCAGGGTGGAGCTTGGGCCTGTTTGTCCTCCTTGGACTCCAGTGGGGCTTGGCCCAGTTCCACCCAGTTTGGGTTGGGCCTTTGCCTTGGCTGGGAAAGAAAGGAGATGGTGGGGAGATACCCCAGGGGACCAAGAGGATGGGATGGGGAGGCCCAAAAAGGTGGGATTTGGGGTCAGAAAGAGCAGGAAGCGTTGGGACTGTGCCAGGACGGAGCCGGGTGCAAGCATCCCGTGAGGAAGCGGAGCTGCAGCAGCAGGAGTTGAATTGTGGGAAGGGGAAGGAGAGAGGGAATTGTGGCCGGAAGAAAGTGGCCTGGCCCGGGGCTGGGAGTGCTGGGGAGTTCTGGGGGAGCCCCTGGATTGGGAAGGGGCCCATCCCTGAGCCCATGGCCGTGGCATGGGGGCCTCACCTTGGCATCTGCCGGGGGGCTCATCAGGATGGTGAAGAGCAGGGCCACGCTGAGCACAGCGACCTTCATCTTCCTCTGGGCCTGGGCAGCGCTGGCTGAGGCTGCACAAGGGCAGGAGCACATTTATCCCTGCCGGGACCCCTCCCTGCCCCCTCCCCGAGAGCCCCCGGGGCAAAGCCCGGCTGGGCACAGCCCCCAGCCCTGGCCACAAGCCCAGCCCTGGCACAGAGTCCATCCCGCCTGTGGCACCCATCCAGCCACCTTCCCCGGCATCCCTCCAGCTTCCTGCACGGGGCAGCTGCCCCTGGAAGGGCCCAGGCCCCTGGGGGTGCCAAGGGGGTGGGCAGGGAGCTGAAAGCAGCTGCATACCCTGTGGGGACAATCCCACACAACACAATCCATCCTCCAACGGCCCCCAAAGCCTGATCCACTCATGTGCTCCTGCCCATCCCTTCCCAGAACTTTCCCTCTGGGACACCCCAGAGCTCAGCCCAGCCCCAAACCCGGCATGTCTGAGCACAATTGTCCCTGTTCCCACTTCAGCCCCTTGGCTGAACGCAGGGCTGGCACTGCCCCCCTTCTTGGGGCACCAGGAGCCCGGGATCAGGGAAACAGGGAGCTGGGAGATAAAGAGGCTGACGGGCAATGGGCACAGGCGGGTGACTGGGCTCTCCAGTCTGGGCAGGCACTGGGGAGCACTGGGCAATGCTGGCCCTGGCACACAAGGGCGGGGCCCAGGGAAGTGCTGGGGTGGTGGCAGTGCCCGGCTCCAGCCCATTTGCGGGCACTGCAGCCCCCAAGTGGTGCAGGCCCAGCCACGGCCTCCCCGAGCAGAGCCCAGAGGGGCAGATGCCCTTTGCTGGCCCTGCCCCTGTCCCAGCTGGGCACACCGTGTCCTCCCGCATCAGCCGGGCCCCGCTCTGCTCAGCTGGCCCAGGCAGGGGGGGCCAGGCACTGGCAGCCCAGCAGGGCTCTGGCTCCACACTGGGCTGGCCCTGGCACACAGCTGCCCCAGTGCCCCTGTCCCCAGGGATGGCCCTGCCCTGCCCTGGGCCCAGCGCTGGCCCTCAGCAGGATGGCACCTTCCCCCCCACTCTCCCTCCCTCCCCACCCGCCTCACAGGCCCCTCTGGGCTGGGACCCCCGTGGGCACAGATCAAGGACAGCCACTGAGCGGGGGCTCCCGCCACCTGCCACAGCCTCAATTCTCCACTCACCTTTGGCCACAGTTCCGCAACACCTTCCATCCTTACGGGCCCCTGACCACACACAAGAGACCATTGTGGGGCAGCTGGGAAAACATCTCAGCTGAATGACTTGACTATTTGCCTTGCATTTTCCCCAGGAGCCGGCAGTGACCTGGAAGATTTTCCTTTTGCCCCTTTCTGCTTCGTGCCTCGTTTGTTGGATAATTGAGGAACGTTGACTGAGGAGGGGCCCAGGGGAGGTGAAGCTGCTCAAGAAAGAGTCATTGCACCTCTGTGGGTGCAAGGCCTGAGTGCTCTGGCAGCTTGGTCACAGTCCTGCTGCGTGTCCATGCTGAGATCACAGGCAGGGACAGGCCCTGGCACTGCTGGCACAGTTTGGGGGCACAGCGGGAAACAGGGTCTGACTGGGGCTGTCCAAGCACCGTCCCCAAGGAGCACAGCTTGGTGTCGGGGCAGGGGAGGGTCAGGGACAATCAGCCAAGGTCCCTCAGTCCTTCCCTGGGATCTGGGAGGGATGGAAAAGGGGATCAAAGGAGCCAGTGGGTGTCAAATGCCCCCAGATCTCAAGGACCAGGCTCGGGGCTGAAGGGATGGAGAGCAGCCCTGCATCCAAGGCCATGGGGATAGTGGGGGATGAAAAGCAGGATGGGAGCCAGCAATGGGAGCTCACAGCCCACAACCCCCCCGTGTCCTGGGCTCATCCCACAGCGTGGGCAGCAGGGTAGGGGGGTTCTGCCCCTCTGCTCCGCTCAGCTGAGACCCCTCCTGCAGTACTGCCTCCAGCTCTGGGCTCCTCTGGCTCTCTGCAACGCACCCGCCCGCAATGGCAATGGCTTGGGGGGATTCCCCTGCCATCTCCTGCAGCTCCATGGGCTCCTCAGCACAGCAAAGACACGCACCTTTTGGGGCACTTCCAGAGGAGGCCACCAAGGGGATCCCAGGGCTGCAGCACCTCTCGCATGGAGACAGGCTGAGAGAGTGGGGGCTCTTCAGCCTGCAGAAGAAAAGCCTGTGGGGAGACCTCCCTGGGGCCTTCCAGTACTTCAAGGCAGCTTTTTAGAGACATGTGGGCAAAGGGTTCAGTCGGGCCTGTCACAATAGGACAGGGGGTGAGGAAGTTAAACTAAAAAAGTGTAAGTTCAGACCAGAGATAAAGAAGAAATATTTCATAGTGAGAAAGCTGAAACACAGGAACACATTTGCAGGGAGGTGGTGGATGCCCCATCCCTGCAAACATTCAAGGCCAGGTTGGATGGGGCTCTGAGCAAGGTGACCTTGGAAAGATGTCTCTGCTCCCCCTCCAGGGGATCCCCCACCCTGTGCTCTTGGCTACCAGAGTGATGGGCAGCTCTCAAAGGATGCAAGTGCCCAGAGAGCAGAGGGAACACCAGGACCTCTGTTAGCAGGGACATCTTCAGGTGAGATGGGAATAGTTTGGATCAACACACTCAGGCTCCCCTGTTTTGTCTCTCTATATTTGCACACAACTTTTGGAAGAGACTGATAACCACGAGGTCCCACTGTGTCACAGGGTCCCCTTGGTGACAGGAGGTCATCAAGTGTCCCACAGACTTGGGGTAGAGTTTTTGGAGGTGTTCTCTGACCCAATCTTCCTTAGCAAGGCAAGGTCTTCCTTCCAACATTCCTATAGCCTGGTCTCCCGGGCCAGAGATCCCTGAGGGTTGGTCTTGTCAGTGCAAAGGTGTTCAGTAACTCTGCCTTCTCTGCATCCTTGCCATGAGCAGAGCGGCTCAGGGGGCTCCTGGGGGTCTCTGCACACGAGATCCCCCTCACACTCTTAAGGCAACTTCCCAGGCTCACCATTCCCAAGACTCCCTGGCAGTCACTCTCCCACCAACCCAGACTGGCACTGCTGACACTCAGGCCCCTTCCCAGCAGCAGCAGCTCCAGTGACCCGACAGGTCCCCTGTGACTCCTCACACCCCCACTCTCACAGTCAGACCAGGTTTCCTCACTGCTTCCACCCCAGGTTTCCCGTGGCAGAGTCTCATGTCTTAGAAACAATAAAACAATTTATTTCTTGTGAAGAAACACAGAAACAGCCTGAGCTGGTGCCTCAAGGAGGGACCCCCAACAAAAACCTCTATGAGTTTTTATCCCCTCACACTCCAAGCACACAAACTGCTCTTCCTGCTGAGTCCTGGGCTCCTGCCCTGTCTCCAAGTGTCCTCTCCCTTGGCTACTCCAGGGTCAGCAGCTCACGGCCTTTGGTCTGAGGCCCCTCACCCAGAGCTCATCCCACAGCTCCAACTGCAGCTGCTCCCTGAGCCACCTGCACCCATGGGATTCCTCAGCCCTGGGCACCACGAGGCTCCTGACATTGTCCCAGGGTCCCTTTGGTTCCATGAGCCCCCACAGTGTCCCAGGGTCCCTTGGGTTCCATGAGCCCCCACAGTGTCCCAGGGTCCCTTGGGTTCCATGAGCCCCCACAGTGTCCCAGGGTCTCTTGGGTTCCATGAAGTCCTGTGGTGTCACAGTGGCCCCTTGGTTCCATGAGGTTCCACAGTGTCCCAGGGCTCTAAACGGGACATGATGGGGGAGGGGCACAAGATCAGGCTTGTTCCGGGAAATCTGTGGGATAACATGAAAAACTTAGAGGGACAAGGTACCCGTGAGGGCCCCTCTGAGGTGACTCTGAGATGGAACAGCCACACTGGAGCACAGCTGATGTCTCACAGAGGTGAGCCAGGGACTCCTGGGATAATGGAAGCCAACAGGGAACCATCAGAGAAATCCCCTCGTAGCAAAAGGAGGCTCAAGAGGGAACAAACACCTCGTTCAAGAAATTTCCCACTTTAGTCAGCTTGGTGCCAAGCTTGTTTTCACAGACAGTTACTGTCAGAGTTGATCATTAGACCACTGAAACTTTAAGTTTTGCCAAACTAACCATGAGAAGCTTCAATGAAGAAATCCTGGGGGAACTAAAATCTGGACACGTGGAATCCAGAATTTAGAGCCCTCCAAGGACATGTGAAGTAACCACAAGGTAAAGAAGAGACTAACAAAGACAATTCATCCTGTGCTGGAAACTCCCTGCCTGGTATAAGTAATAATAGGACTGTTCTTGCAAAACTTGTGCTACAGTCCTAATTGGTGTAGCAGTAGAGTAGAAAGTTACTGTTTATGCAGCCTTTGACCCCATTTTAAACCAGCCTTTGACCCCCAGTTTGAAGCATCTGTATAGTTTGCTGAGGAACAAGAGAACCCAGCAGCTGCAAGGGATAGGGAAGCCCCTGCTTTGAAGTTTGGTGATCAACTCCCTTCATTTGTGGCCAGAATGGGACAGTTCATCGGGTTCCTGAGACTGTCCAGAGACAGGCAAGAGGGGAAGAAAGGGTAAGGAAATGTCATAATCTGGAAAGGAGTCCACAGGGAAAGACTGAGGAATCTCACCAGTGAGTAAATGTGGGAACTGGGGGGAAGCAAAAGGAAAATGCCTAAGGGGGACAAAAGTTCAGTGCCCAAGAGGGGCAAAAATCCAGATAGGGGATGTGGCAAAAAGGGTGACAACTCTTATATTCCTCCAGATAGTCCCTGAGGTAAAACGTTGGAATTTTGTGGTGATGCATGGTTCAAGCAAATTTCTTCCATAAAACTAGAGCATATGAAAGAAGGAGAAAACCAAAGCAAGAATAAATAGGAAATGAACTCAACTCAAA